AAGAAAATGGATGGATGGATGGAGATAATAATCCAAACCCCCATATTCCAACACTACCACAATTCCTCCTTTGTACATGTTCTCTCCAGAGATTATTATGCAGTTGCGGACACCTTTCCAAGGGGAGCCCTTGCGACCAGTGCTGTATGAGCAGCTGTGTGATGAAAACATCAACTTACTGCTGAGGGCCTGCTGGAGTGAAAACCCTGACCACCGCCCTCCAGCTGGGTCAATACGGAGACAGCTGAGGGACATCAGCCCAGACAGGTCAGGTCATTCATAGTTTTTTATTTCATAACATGCCCCAAAATACTACTGTTCTCCCTGCCTCTTGTTTGGGCCTACAGGTACAGTATGTCATATGGTTATCCACCTTTATTTTACATACAAGAATCAGATAGCATGTTGTCATGAAGCAGAAAGGATTCGGACCAGTGGATTAAAAACTGCTTCCAACTTTTACTGATATCTGTTTAATAAAAATCTGAACTACTCTGCTGACTAAATAACAAACTGAAAACCCGTTAATGGAGGCGAATGTGACTTTCTGTACTGCAGTCATGCAAATATACTGGATAATATGGTGGATAAGTTGGAGAAATATGCAAATCACTTGGAGGAGGTGGTGGAGGACAGGACCAATCAGCTTATGGCAGAGAAGGCCCGTGCAGACAAGCTTCTCTCCAGCATGTTACCCAGGTACCAGATGTAACTGCATCAAAATGATCAATGTTGTATTTTGTCATTATTCTGTCAATCATGAAATTAGAATCAATTAGCAATTTATGGTAACCCATTCAAAAACCATGTCTGTGGTGCCTCCAGGTGAACAGACTTCCACAACTACATCTGCCACTCTCACCTGGTCAGTGTTCTTGTTTCACTGGTCATAGGAACATCGCAGATCAGCTGATGGCAGGGATGTCAGTGGAGCCGCGGAGCTACGACCTGGTGACCGTCTTCTTCTCTGACATTGTGGGCTTCACCTCCATGTGCGCTCTCAGCTCTGCAATGGAGGTGGTCACATTCCTGAACGACCTGTACAGCCTCTTCGATGACATCATCAAGCTGTATGATGTCTACAAGGTAAGACACACCATTTGTTTCACCGTGCATTGTAAACGTGAAGTTTAAAAGGATTGTAAACACATAAACATAATAAAAACCTTAACTAAACCTAAACATAATAAAAACCTGTCACTTTAAAAACAGTCAGCAAAGCTTTGTTGCATTTGTATCTTTATCAGGTGGAAACAATTGGTGATGCTTACATGGTAGCCAGTGGTCTACCCATCACCAACGGCAATAAGCATGCTTTGGAGATAGCAACAATGGCTCTGCATTTCCTGAGAGCAATCAAGGTCTTCAGAATTCGACACATGCCTACAGAGAGGCTTGCCATTCGCATTGGGGTACACTCGGGTAAGAGAAAGCACTGAAAAACTAAACAGACCTGCTCAGTCTCTCCCTCTCTCTTTAGTTTATGTGAATGTTTTGCTTTTGCTGCAGTATGTGGAACAGGTCAAGTTGGCTGACAACTAAACAATCTGTGTATATTATTCAAGTTAGTATTTATTTGTTGAACTTTGCTCATATTTTAGGAGAAACCAAAAGTTTTGCATGGTTAGTCACTCGATTTATATAATTACAACAACATATTGGTCAATATGTATGGGAGTAAATCCAGGGGTGGAAGAAGTACTCGGATTCTTTACTTAAGTAAAAGTGGGAATACCACAGTATAAAAATACTCAGTTACAAGTAAAAGTCCTGCATCAAAATGTTACTTAAGTGAAAGTACAAAAGTATTAGCATCAAAATATGCTTAAAAGTACCAAAAGTAAAAGTACTCATCATGCATAATGGCACATTACATATGAGCGTATATCATATTACTGGATTATAATTATTATACTGTTGATATTATTTAATGCTTTGTATCCTTTAAAATGGTTTATTTTGTTCATGTTTTAATTATATAAAAATCTTTTATCAAATTGAAATAGCTTTTAATGTTCACACGTATTTCATTAACATCTTGTCAGTGGTCTATAAACTAATTCAAATTGTACGAACCTGTACGAAAGGTGCCAAATAAGTAAGTTGGCTTGATTGATTGATTTGAGAAAATCAAACATTGCAGGTCCAGTGGTTGCTGGAGTCGTCGGCATCACTATGCCTCGCTACTGTCTGTTTGGAGACACAGTGAACATGGCATCCCGTATGGAAAGCAACGGCTTACGTAAGTAGGCCACAGCAGTAATGACATTTTGTAATCTAAACCGTCTGGACTTAAGATAAATATATGTGCAAGCGTAGTTAGCACTTTGCTGTTAGCATTTAGCTCAATGTGCTGCTGTTCTGAACATGGATAACTAAAATTTTCACATTTTAAAAGCACTTATGTGTATTTTGCACAGCCCTGAAGATCCACATATCTCAGTACACTGCAGACATTCTTATCCAGGCTGGATCATTTGAGTTGGAGGAAAGAGGAGAAATCGAACTTAAGGTGACCCAAGATCTGTGTGTTTTCCCTCTTAAGCCTGAGTGTCTGATACGCTTGTGACCAGTGTGTGTGTTTGTGTTCATGACAGGGTAAAGGGAGTCATAAGACCTACTGGCTGCTCAACAAAAGTGGATTTAACCCTCCTCTTATTGCTCACAGCTCTCCGACAGCTGACAGTCTCAAACAACAAACAGAGGTACAGGTAGATGTATAACATATATAGACAGGCACTCAACAGTCACACTACGTAGGACATGATGTAAACCAGTGTTGTATTTTGACCTTGTGATGTCTCTGCTTAAGAAACCTGGAGTGGCAAAGGCCATGGACAAAAAGGCCCAGAAAACCCTGACCAAAGCTCAAATGATAGACACCACCAGTGTCCACATAAAGAACTAGTGAATATTCTGATCATATTTTGGATAAATTAACAAGAATGAATGAAAGTGATAGCTCCACAGGTCCCACAGAATGATATGCATAACAGGGTTGTTTCCTCCACTCATGAAGAGGAAGGCTGGAGACAAAATGTGAGACTGCAGTGAAAGCAAGACCCTGACAACACCTGGGGAGCAACTCGTGTTAATGGATGCTTAAGATACTTTTCAATCTTTATTCTTTGTGATTTTGGTACAACACACTTTCACACAGGATTATTTCATTCAGTGGCAATGTAACAAATACTGACTGTTAAGTTGAAACTGTTCTTTGTAGATATTACTAAATTATATTATTCTTATGCAGTCAAATATTTTATTTTAAGTAATTACAAAACACACAACCAGCACATTAAGTTGAACTGTGAGATAACACCCATCATCAATCTGTGCACAGTTTGTAAATGATGAAGGACCAACTATGAGTGTGGAGGAGGACGTTATTCATACGCTCCCTGAGTTCAGAGTCTGAACGTGTGTTTATGTAAATGAATAATGTCTGAATGAGACTGAATGATGATGCAGGTTTTATCTAATTGCTAAATCCCATGATTTTATCAGGGCCACCAGCAGGATGAACAGCGATGTGCCTGTGGTCAAAAGAAAATACAGTGAATCAAACAAAAGTGAAAGAGAAACAACTTTTATTAAACAGCATGTGCTGAGCTCATATTTGATTTTCTTCTGGGAATTTTGGCAATTCATGTACATGGCACTTTATTTAATAGGCTGGCTTAATATTTCTAGTATTAATATATTTACATTTGATGTCAAAATTTAATGACTTTTGAGACAAATAAATGAAATAAGTGTTTTTGAACCAGGATTTGATCCAGCAGTGTAGAAAACCCCTTGAAACAGTCCTCAAATCTCCACGCTCTATATGGTAAATGGACAGTTCACTGAATAAATGAAATATCAGCACTGGGCTCATAATCTCAGCACCAGAGGCTCAGAATGGTAAGGGTTCAATGCATTTTAATCACATTGTTTACCTGTTATGTGTCCATTATTAGAAGATCCATTAGCTGTTGAGAGATTAAAACATTAAAACTAGACAAAACAATCGGCAGATGACATGATTTTTTAAAAAATTTGCCTTTAACAGTATTTTAATTTGAAATAGTAAAGCTAACAATGGCACAGATTGATTTACTTGCATGACAAAAGAAGTTCAAAATATTATATCACAGCATGTTCAGGCAACAAGTGGCACCTTTAATGCGGAACTCAGCGGTGAGGACCCCCCCATCTGCTGCGACCTCTGATGGCAGACGTCTCGCAGAGCAGGGGCTCTCCAGGAAAGAGAACAGACAAAAGTAACAGCTGCTGCTTGTGGATGCCGACTAGCACATTTTACAAAACAAATATAAGCAGCCTAACTAGACATACAGATAAGGACCTTCCAGCTTTCTCTTCCCTGGATCTCTCCCTTCAGGTTGGGAATGGGTTGCTGCTCCAAGCGAAGGAGTTTAAAGAACCCATGGCATGCTTTTCCTTGTTTCCTGACTTACCAACAATGTTACAACAGTGAATTATCATCTTAAACATGACCTAAAGCTCCAAAAATGAGGTGTACGTATGTTCTAGTACACTAAAGAAATGTACCAAGGGCAGTGAAAGCTACAGAATATGACAGACATGTGATATCGTTGGCCACCAAAATCTAATTTTCTATCTAATCAACTATCTACTAGTTCATCCTTGAGTCCAAGTGAATGTTTGTGCCAAATTTGAAGAAATTCCCTCAAGGTGTCCCTGAGATATTGCGTTCACAGGATTTTGACAGACAGACCTGAGAACATAATGCCTCCAACTACATCTATCACCAAGGTGGAGGCAATAAAAGAATAGGATAATGAAATAAAATAATAATTCCTGAAGTCCATCTAGCCGGCTCAGTTCTACATCACCGTCACAGTATCATGGCTTACTGGGATACTCGTATAGACCCATGCTAATTACCAAGGCACCCGTGTTTCCCCAGTTATGATAAGTCAAAATGTCTTCTGTGACAAAGGGGCAGTATGAATAGTTTTTGGTTTTTTTTGCATTTGTATTATTGTGAGTACCTCCGGCCAGTAGGGGTTGTGTCTTCAGTTGGATACTTAGACAATATTTAAGGAAGCGTGTGTTGATTAACACCAGGTGTTCATGATCTTGGAGGTGAACAGCTTTTAGACCAAAACTGTACATTGTACTGGGAAGTGAACATTGTGCCATGGACTATGGTGTCGTATAATGGTGAGCTGCAACTGTTAATAAACATAATCACCGGAAACCTATTGTCTTCTATGTGTGTCAAACTACACCTCTGTGGCCTTTTGAAAGGCTCTACTGTGTGGTATCATAACTAATTGTTGAACTTACGGGCTGGCAGACGAGCCTCTCTCCGTCACAGACGTGAACCTCACAGTGAAGCCACACCGTAGACACCTTCTCCAGCCACTGGAAGCGAAAGGAGCCGAACTTGAACATGGAGCGGCTGTCTTTGGCATTCTCAAAAATAGTCACAGTGGGGTCAGAGGAGCAGCTGTTGGCAAATTATACCAGTTATTACAATAAAGAAGTGGCCCAGTGGCATGACTGTCCTTTCATATCTGACTACCTGTTAATGATGAGACTCCACCTCTTCCTGTCTGTCGAGTAAGGAGTAGGGGTGGCCCAGCAGTTAGTTATCACAACTTTGAATCTGAGACATAAATAAGTGATAGATATGGATTAAAAACATTTCTAAATAAAATGTTAGATGGCAGGGAAAGTCTAAAACTATTTAATATACCTGGTGCTTAGTCCTTTTGCTTCGATGGCGATGAAAACATCAGAGCCAATGTCAGAAGTGTCGATCACGTAGGGAGTGTCTCTGGTGTGAAGAAACTTTGAATTCTATAAAATATATGTCATTTTTGTATTTCTACATCTGACAATACCTGTAAAACTTTTATTTGACTATGAAAGGTTCTAGTAGTTATACTTTAATTTTCCCAGACAGCTGTTGTGCACAGCACTAATAAAAGATGTCTAAAAACAGGATACCCCTGGAGGAAGAGGGTCTGTAAGCAGCTACTCACCGTGAACACGTTCAAAGACAACTGTGATCTAAAAGTCCCTAAACTCCCGTTGTTGACATAAACTGTAGCCACTCTGAAAAAAGCAGAGGGTTTAGTAAAAACGCTGCAAGTCATCGGGTTAGAGTGCACATGTCATCCACACAGTAACTATGCTCACCTCGTGTCCTGGACTGATGCTTACCTTTGGCTGAAGACTGCGTTATTTACCAGGTAGGCTGCTCGGTAGGTGCAGCTGAAGGTGTAGTTGACCGGCTGGTTTCTGACTGTCAGCGAAGTATCGTTGGACACGATGGAGTTATAGAAGATGTACTTGGGGTCTTTACCAGGCAGGTACTGTGGAGAACATGGATATCAACATCAGGAGGAAGACGACTAACAATTTTACTTGTGAGTCGTCTGCCTGTGAGTTTGTGCCTCCACCTAAATACAGTTTAGTTAACTACAGTGTAGTTGGATGAAAAGAGAAATTCATGAAATGTAACAAAAATGCTTCTGAAATGATTCGTCAACACTAGCTTTAATGCAACATATACATTTTTTATTGTGTTCATTAACTGGATAAATGTCCTGGCAGCTGGAAGATGGAAACCTCACATGTTAAAATGTAAAACTGTATCAAAGTTGTGTTGACATATGAGATGCTGGTTATTAGTTTTTAAAAAATTCAGTTATCTGTTCAGTTATATAGTAAATGTAATTCCCCAGTTGAGGATTAGGCCGTTCCAGTTTTCTCCACACTGCCAGGAATGAAAATACTTTATTCATTAATTCTTTATTAAATCAGACCCTTTACTTCAGTGCTAGTTGTTGTTGGCCCTGGCCGAGAACATGACCTCTGTGATCTCTGTGGTAGTTTCGAGGGGCAGGGAAACTGACAATGGAAAGAGAGAGCTGCTGTTGCAGTAAATGTGTTTTGTATGTGACCACCACAGACTAAATTTTGTTCACATCCATTGTGCCGTGTTCGAGTGTAATGGGAATTTTATATTAGCATCTTTTCTAGTGTATTGACTGTTGCTATTCTATGCAGTTATTTGTGTGCTTGTGACACTAGACAGTTTACTGTGTTGGCATGTTTGTAGAGATAAGCATGCCTTTGTGCGAATGCTAAACCACATAACTTGTACCCTGTTTTGTACCTGTTTGGGCATCTGTTTCCTGCAATTGTATGTGTGTGTATAAAAAGAGAGGTAACCCTCTGTTCTGGGAGCTTCTCCTTCAGACATTCTGTTTAGAGACCGCTCCTTTCTGCAGAAATAAATGTATAATAACTTTCAGAGCTGATGTTAAGTCTTTATTTTACACTCACCGAGCTTTAATAAGATCATTTTTGCCACAGTACGAGACACAAAACTCTGGAGCAAAACAAATAAATAATATGAACTATCTAGATGTGTGATTATGGTCAAGGGAGAAAATATGTTTCTTTGTTATTTAGGGTGGACTGACTCTCACCTCTGACTGCGTGCCACAGTACGAGTGGTTTTTTGGTGTTAGGTCTGCGATGATGAAGCGGTAGTAGCCTGGGGTGTGTGTCCCAGTGTAACAGACGCCGCTCAGGGACAGCTGCTCAATCTCCCAGCCATAAGGACACTCCGGGACGTCGGCAATGATGGCGTTGGGGAAACATGACACCATAGCGTAGTCTGAAAGGACATGCAAATCTACACTCAGTTTAGGTTATTAGGTACACCTACATAAAACTACTGGACCTGTGCAATAAATCCTCTCTGTTTTAATGACTTTACTAAAAGCATGTTTACATGTTTGTTTGTTTTTTACATTTTGTCTGAAACTCACCTGACTTATTACACTTAATAAAGTAAATTGGATTCTATTTATCCAAATTCTACTGCTTGTGTGTCTGTGTCATCTGGTCCATTTATGTCTGGCCTTTCTGGGCCAGGGATAGAGGGTACTGTATGTTGTCCAGAAGCCCTCTTAACAGCCAATGTAACTAAAATCAACTTGCTTTGACTATGTTACAGATCACATCTTGCATAAGTCAAACTCCCAATGAGCCGGACAAATAACAGCTTTAAATTCATGGGATCTGCAGAATGTCCACTGTTTGTGATAGAACTGACACAAACACACGACGTACTAAATTGTTGTTACCTGCTTTTTGGGGAGTGCAGGTCCATGCTACAGGCAACAGCATTAACAGTGCACTAGTAACTGCCATGGTGTGATGCTGCAAAAAAGATGAAAGATTTTTACCTTAGCAATAAGAGAATATTTAAAGATAACGTATAAGAGACATGAAAAGACTCACCTGGAGGGGAAAAACAACTGACGAGCTGGGTGTCAGAAGATCCTCATGGCTCTTCAGCAGGTTATCAGCACCAGTGGCTCTACCACGAACATCTCGACAACTCGAGGAGGCATTTTATACTGTCACAGGTAATAGTAATCAACTTTACCCTCATTCATTTGTTTCCACCTTTGAAAGCTCTATTGTAGGGCTGCTCACAAAAGTGCTCTGTGCTGCTCAGACATTGACTTTCAAATGAGCAATGTCTCACGGCATCAGAGTCCTAGAGTCTTTCTGGAGACTGGCATACAGGAAATGTTCAATTTTAAACAGTGATATAAGACATACAGGAGGGCAATTATTCATATATAAATATCATCTCTGTGGAAGACAAGACAAACTTTCACTAGCTCAATATTTAGGTCACAGACTCATTGTGCTATAATTTATATTAAATTTTAAAAACTAAAATGATCAAAACTTCTAATATTTGTTTAAACTCTGACCAGTGCCAAAATAATGCAGGAACAGATTTTAGTGCTCTCTTGTGTTTTATGTCCAGCAAAAGTTCAACATTTTGGTGAGTACTTTCATTCACTTTGTGATACTGAGTTAAATGAGAAGACTGATACCACTCTCAGCAAGCAGCTGCTTATCTTAGCTTAGCATAAAGACTGGAAACAAGGGGAAACAGCTGGCCTGGCTCTGGTCCAAAGAAGGGCTGTCACTTCTTGTGGTGCACTTATTCAAAATTTCAAACTTTCATTCAGTCATGGAAGGGAACAGTGATGTCCTGTCTAGATTCAAAATTACAAGAGCTTATTTTTAAAAGTCACAAGTGGTACATACAAACACTGAGGGAGAGAGGCGCTCTCCAACTGCCAGCAGATTGGGGTCAGTTTATTAAAACCTTAGTGTAAATTCATTTGAACTGTTCACCTGCAAGCACCTCTAGGTGTCACAAATGTTATTATTTGTTTGGACAAAAACCCAAGTGTGAACACAAGAATTCACCAATTATACAGATCATGTGTCAGATAATCACTTCGATCCAAGATGAGCTATAACAAGGTATGTTAAATAATGAGCCTTAAAGGTGCTCGTGGGCAGATTACTGGACAGAACCAGGTTACTGTTAACCTCCTGTTTCCAGTCTTTATGCTAAGATAACCTGCTACTGGCTGTAGCCTTACACTTAACTCACAGATAAGAGAGCGGTATCAGCTTTCACGTCTTCTCTTCAGACAGTATCACTGTAGACGTGTAAAGGTGCAACAGTAGGTAGAGAGCCACACAGCCCTGTTCTTTCTCTTTTGGCCACAGAGGACAAAAGGTTCAAGAACAGAAAACCATTTATGCAGCGAAACAGTGCAAACAGACATGCATGGAAACCTTTAAAATGTGATGGGAGCTCCATTCAGAGTGTGCATACACCGACCCTGGATATGACAGGGCTCTACTTTGCAGCTTTCAGTAATATAAGGTTTCTCATGTTAGATATCACTTTGATCCCTGTGGCATTTCCTATGTGTGTGAAACACGTGTTCTCATTGGCCTGTTTACATGATTTCGCTTGCTTTTTATCATGTTGCCTAAATCCTCAAGAAGCTTTAGTCTTGATGTGATTATTGAAATTATTTCAAATGTGACTCCAGCTGAGACCGTCCCATGTTTTTTCCTGTTCTAAATCAAATCTGACATCAGATTTAAATTGCCTGTCAAATTATCTCAAAGGGCATTCACGTCTCATAAAATCAAAGAAGTTACATGTGGTCACCAGTCGACCAATAAAACTTTAAAATCTTTTTCTTATTAACAAGAAGCTCACAGCATCAAATACTTCCTAGCAAAGCCTAAACAACGAGAGCTGTAAATCGATAGCAAAGAGATCAGGCACTAATGCTCTTCCCAGAACAATTCACACAGCAGCTGAAGGAACAAACTGCAGATGATTAACATCTGAATGGAGCAACGGGGGTAGATACCAATCTGAGCGGGCTTGGGGACAGCTAGCCTTACAGCATCTGGTGATGGAACCATGTTATATAAGCATGGCCTGGTGCTAAGAGGGGGTCAGTCTGTGCAGCTTTAAAGAAATACAGCTCCCAACAAGGAATCAGTCCCTGCATCTAAACCTCAAAGCCATATAAGTTGTAAGTATAGTACAGAACAGAGGCTGCTGACTGCCTCAATGTGGCTGAGTGCTTCTAATCTGAGAGTAAAAAAATAGTCATAAAAAAAGTTTTTTTTGACAGGACCCTATGGTTAAATTTTAAATTGACCCCCCCAAAGCATAAATAACTTCTGAAATGTTTGTACATTCAGTATGTTGAGGTTAAGATATCCTGACTTTATTTGCATATTATGACTTTAACATTACTGACTTGTTTCAAACTATATCTACTCCATGAATGTAAAGCTTATTTCAGACTTTTTGTTGTATTTTATGTACAGCATTATCTGCTGTAGAAGGGACGTACTGGGTTAACACTGACTTAAAGTCATAGTGTACTGTCCTCCAGCCAAACTCCATCTTTTAACTTTGAAATACTGACCCAGTGTAAAATACTTGACTTGTGCTACATCCCCTGTATGTTTACCACAAGAGAGCAGCACAACCTTTTCAATATAGGCTATAGGAATGATCTTGGCAGCTTTAAAATGTATGTGCAGGATGTGACGCGACTGTAGAAGAAAACCAGAATCTTTGTGTTTGTGAAAGATTTCTTTTTAGTTTTTGTTATTGAAGACTGAAGGGGAACAGACAATTACAGATATGATTAAACATGAGGATGACCCCATGACACTGCTGAGCCACATACAATAGTGCTTTTGTCAAAATGTACACAGTGACATAACAAAAGAACATGCAGTAATAGAACACATATGGAAACTCATACACTTCTTTATATACAGTTATATACATCATATTTACATAAGGAACAGCTTCAGTGTGAAGGTTGGCAGGTCCAACTTGTTCGTTCTGGCTGGTAAATAAAATCCCCCCTGCAAGACAAACAAACTGACATTAAGCCATGGAAATGATGTGATTTATCATCAGAACTACCAAATAAACATTTTTAATTTTGTTTAGTTACATGTTAAATATGAGTTTCTATAAGTTGTACTTTACATGTTGGATGAAAGGAAGAGCCTACACGCCTGTTACACAGAAACAAGATATTTGGGTCTAGCTCCTCTGATAACCTTGACCCACATCAACTTTGTTAGCACAAACCTGTATACAAATAATCAGCCTTAGTGTCTTATTCTAAAAGGAAACATACGATACCTGTGTCACTGCAAGCAATAAAACTTTAAATCACTGCCAACTAAACTTCACAAACACACATCAAAATGGTTTTCCAAGGATGCTAAGTGCTCTTTTTTGTTTGTTTCCTGAGATGTTCCTGGAGCTTTTCTGCTAACATCCATAGTGTGTTTCATTTTTTCCAGCTGTGAGCAGCTCCTCCCTTTCCTTGGTACAATGCACTGTGGAGCAACCGAGTGCACTCTAAAAGCAAAAGCTTTTTAGTGTGCATGGTGGGTGTTTTATGTATAATCTCACATATGAAAATACATCTGTACATGCTCAAACCCTGCTCAGGTTTAAGTCTTATGACTCATTTTGGTGGGTTGATAATCCACACCGGAAGTTGGTATTTTGCTGTGCTTACTCTCTCTGGTGTGGTGCTTTGTCTTCCCGACACAGTAGCCCCTCATCACATGGACAAATCTGGTTTATACTGAAGGCCAGACCGCCATCGGGCACGTAGCAGTTCTCACCACGGATCAGGCGTCTCTTGCACACTTGCTCACCGTGGTGCCGGGCACAGCACATGGATGCCCCACAGTCCCTGTCAACTTTACACCTGGCACCTGGATGATCAAAACAATGGTTACTTAGGTCAGATCATCTCATGAAGACAGTCTGAAGATTGTTTTGATATTTTAAGTTCCAAGTGAGGTTCAGGTTTTAAATAAATTGGTGTTGGCTGTGCTCTTACCCTCTTGTCCGTTGGGGATGCTGCGGTGGCACTTCCCGAACATGCAGCTGAGTCCACGGACACACTGCGCGTCCCTCCGACAGTAGTGGCCCTCCCCTCGTAGAGGAACACACAGACCAAAGTGGCGATCGCAGGAGAAACCCCGCCCACAGGCCCTGTCATGTTCGCACACAGCCTGGAATAAAAGAAGAGGCTTTTGTCAAAATCTGGCCCAAAGTCAAGTCCTGCAGTTTCCTGAAAATCCTTGAGCATTAAAATAAGATTTTCACACAAGTAGGAAGATGTGACACTACTTTCTGTGAACATATACATATTTTAGTACAAAAATGATATTTCTGCACAGAATCCAGGATCTTACCGTGACTGCTTTGGCAACAGGAACACCTTCTCTGAGCGCCATTGCTCCTTCTTTGGGAGGGCTGTGAGGCATGCTGAGCATCCAGGCCCAAATACGAGCCTCGGCCCAGGAGAAGCACAGACACATGCAGAGCACCCACAGACTCCCAGACATTTCCAATCAGCGTAAAAATGTATGAAGTAACTGAAAGTAAGATAATCAGAAAACAGGTAACCCAAGACAGGGAGACTCAAGGACAAAGATGAGTCACTTGTGAGAGTTTGTATAAGATAAAGAAATTTTAAAAAGCAAAAATTAAAAGCCCCAGTGAATGTGCAGAATGTCAGGTCTGAAGGGATCCATGCAGCATCAGTGGCTGCATCCTCTGCCAGCATGACTTTTATAGTTCACCACAGCTCGACTTCCCCCCACCAGGCTGTTTGTCCAAGCAGCAGGGTGGGAGGAGACAATTAGTTGTTAATGGATTAACTAAATTGCCCGGGTTGCCCCCTGCGGCCAGACAATTCTTGCAAAATGACCAGTACTGACATCAGCTTCACCAAGATGAGCACCGCCTCTGTGTGGTGAAGGGGAAGGACAAAAACAGGCAAATGCATGACATTTTCCATTGCTCCCTGAGTGACATCTGAAGCCACCGTGGCCCCAAAACTCCCTGCAAACACTTGTGGTCCCAACCTCCACAGCCCCACTGCCCCCTGCCCATCCCACTTCAGACCCCACGCTGAGAGCAATTAGCAGAAGTGCAACCTGCTGACGACCCCGTGATCTCATTAAATGTAATTACCATCAGTCATTAACTCTCAATGGGAGAAGGGGTGTGTGTGGCACAAGCAGATCAATTTTTGTACATTTTATGATTGTTTTTATTTGCCAAAAAGGAAACAAACCACACATCATTCAAACTGTAATCCACTGAAGTAAACAGAATACAATAACTTTGACATCCTGAAACGTTTTCAAATTTCAGAGTTTGCACCTGAATATCTAGTGATTCCTTGAAGTCAAGAGTTTTAGCTTGAAGCTTGAAGGATAAACTAAAACACAGTTTTTAAAAGGAACATACTGTTTTGGTAAAATGACATATTGTCACGGAGTACAGATGAAAACAGTAACAGAAGGCTGCACATAGAGATGACTCTATTAACTATGGATCATTACCTTTATAATGTGTATAACGTTCCTCCTGTCTGAATTACATTTTTTGTATAGTTTTGCAACTTCTCTTGCCAGAAACTGAAACTGATGACATCCTGCACAGCTGTGCTGCGAACATCTGTACCTTTTCGAACATTTTTGACTGATTTTCCATTTCACGTTCAAGTTCACCATCAGGCTACGTCTTGTTGTTCTGACGCTATCAGCTGTGATCGACAAAAAATACCAGCACTCCTGCCTTTCCTCTGCTCCTCTGTCCAACCTCAGAGGACTGAGCTGTCATTTTCCCTACGAGGTTGTGAAATTGCTCTGTTTTTGTTAAAAACATCATCTAATCTTTTTAGAAACCACAACCTTTTCCAAAAACACCTCTCCTTTAACAGAATGGCTCTGTCCGATCACCTTCTTCTGGAAAATCCTAACAATTTAGGACACCTCTGGAGTAAATACCGGGTGAGACAGGAGTTTTTCCAGAACAACACACTCTTTATCAAGTAATGTGATCCCCTGCAGATGTCCACTCGCTATCAGAGTGCAGAGAGAGATCTGTAATATCTGTTTTGTCTGTAACCATAACGTCTGTGTTAACACAAACTGCCTGAATAGTTTAACCTAAAGTTAGCAGTTCATGCTTCATTAGCATTCAGTGCTTTCACTCAGACTGAGATGCCTGGATAATCATTTACATATTGTCAGTGGCAGACAGCAAAGATCGGTTATGCAGATATTGCAGTGTCTGCAGCTCCAGGTAGTTAAGTCCTTATCAAAACAGGTTAACACAGACTAATGACGTAATTGACGGCCAATTAAGTCAACACAACAGCAGCAACTGGATCAGTTAGGAATATGTAAAGTAGTATTGTATCATGATTATGCAACCTGAGAAGTGTAATTATTCTAATTCATATGTATTGAGCAGCTAATTGTTCTATGGGGGATGTAAAAAGGACAAAGGTGCATTTAATGTCAAATCTATGTGAGTCATTCAGGTTTGTGAGTTTCAGCATCTACAGATTCATCATCACTCAATTAGCATATCTGACAAAATAGTCTGTTTTATAACTCACCAGCTGCAAATATGAAGCTGCTCACTTATACCTGTTTCTTCTCCTTACAAATCTGATGTCAGATTTTTCTGAGATTCCCAGCTCACACTACAACTCCCACATTCATCCCTTATCACATTCCCCCAAACACGTATTCCTGTTCTACATTTGTACTTACAGCAAGATATCCCCCGTGTTATTTACCCAGTGCTACCAGAGGGTAACTGTCTCCAAACAGCTCTGAACATGCTCTCCCAGTGATAATGATGTTCGTAATGAATGTGCTCAGCATCACAATCAACACTGCTGTTGGTCTTACAATTAGGGACTAACAAAAACAACAGGCAGGGTGATGTTTGTCCATTGTAATGGACCTTGACCCCCCGCAGGGAGTTCCAAATGGTGGAGGGCATGATGAGTCTGCCTTCCCACCACCCAAAAAACATTCAGTGCAAGAATGGACAATTGGAGTGAATGTGTAGTCAAGGCATTGGAGAGCAATGTGGTAAATGTATCGTTTCTTCAGGGTTCAATCTCTAATGTTAGTATTATTCACCCTATCAGCATGAATGAGTAGTATAAAAGCACCTACTAAATAGCTTATAACATTCTATAAAGCTGTTGTAAACAGATATAAAGACATTTAAGTGTTTATTAATGAATCTGTCATCATTTCAAACACTTCCCATAAAGTATAAATTGCTTGTGTTAAGACAGTACAGCTGTAATAATGGTATTAGATTAAACACATGAACACATATTTCAGCATTTTTTAAACTGATCATTTAATAACTTGCTGTATATACTAATTATTCACATGTGGAATTTATGATTACAATTATGTTATCATGAGCTGTCAACAAATACATTAATAAAAACTTTAAAATGTCAAATCTGTGTATAGATTACGTTTACGGTGTGTTATAAAGCCTCCATTTATCAAGCTCATTTATGCCTATAAAATACTAAACAGAGAAAACAAAATGTCCCCAGACTGGTTGAAATCAGAATTATAAGAATGACCCAAGACTAGGAAAAGCAACCGCTACAGGGCCGGACGGCTGTACGCTCACTACTCAAATTGGTAGGGCCCCATAAGTTACACAAGCCCCCTGTCACCGAGAAGATGTGATCATAAGCGTGGGTACAAAATGAAACTTGCGCTTTCCTGCAGCAACTTTGGTGGGGACTAGTCCAGACAGTCTGGGCATGATGGCACTCCTCATACTGTAGGTGCACGTGATTTTCAATCAAGACAACGATGATCTAGTCTCTCAGTCATGGTTTAGCTGCAACTCTGGTCCAAAGCCAGATGGAAGGCAGTATATCGATATGGATTACTGACAAAATATTGAATTGGGCAATATGATAAAATCAGTAATATCAATAACAGTATTGTTATTTATGATTTGCAGGTGCTATGTTTGTTTGTCGGTAGAGAAAATGCTGGATCATCACATCCAGCTTCAGCGAGTACTAACACAGAGCATCTTAAGATTTATCAATCATTTTAAGATTCTATGGGCAATATATTCTTTGCATATACCTCGTTCTGTTCTCTATGGGTGTACTTATTCATAAATGGAGCAAACAGGGCTGTAGTGGGAGCACTGGGGTATCAGGTGTGGCTTTGTGGCAACAGTAAATGGTTTACATGAGTCACTGGTGAGGCAGGAGGGTCCCATTGCAGAATTTTGCTTCCAGGGAAGTCAAACTGGTTCTGACTACACTTTAAACACACAGCTGGAGTCAGCAGCTGGTTAGCTTTGCTTAGACTGGACACAGTAGGAAACAGTAAGCCTGACTCAGTCCAGATGTAAAAATATGTGTCTCCCAGCACCTCTAAAGCTCACTTGTGATGTCTCGTTTGTCTAATCCATACAAAAATGGGCATGTATAAATGACAGGTCACTGGTTATGTGCTGGACCATTTCTTGGCCTGCAGGCAATGAGCAGAAACTCCCACAAAGATAAAATAATCAGAATATTTCTCTCATAAATCCTCATCATTATGAGTGTATAAATAAAACAAAAATCTAATTATGAACTGCATTTAGAAACTGTTTTTCGAAGCGCAGCTTAGAGAATGAGAAGCGCCAATAACCCATGTGTCTGGATGGATCACCAACTGTGTATTATTATAATAATAATAATAACAACCACCTTTATTTGGCCAAGTATGTTACACACAAGGAATTTTTCCGATACAGAATTGAGGCAGCCATCTGCAGCGCCAACTCAAACGATGGCTCTATCCATCGGGGGGGTTCAGTGTCTTGCTGAAGGACACTTTGACATGTGGACTGCGGGTGCCAAGATTTGAACCTCTGACCCTCCGGTTGGGAGACGACTGCTCTACCCACTGAACCACAGTCGCCCCCTTATCTTAAAGTATCTTTATAGTCTGTGAGACAGATGTCAACCAGTAATTAATTATATAACAGCTACATTCAGTGTCAGGCTGCCTATTAATTAGTAGTCGTGCTTTAGAGATATGAAGGTATTTGCTTTTAAAAACTGTTTCTAAACATTCATCAGGAACCCATTACACAAAATGGCTTGTGAGATTCAAATAACACTATTAACCCTGCTTCACCGATTCATAACTAACCCCACATGTGTCCTCTATGATTACTAACAGTGGCAGTAATACTTTAGACATTTTTACAAGAATGTATTGTGCTAACTTTCCTCACTGCTTTGGAGCCACAGACAAATGCACTTAACGTCCTCATTAAAAAAAAGTTGTGTTTTATTTTAGCCTCATACATTTGAATTGCATTTCTCGTAAGATTCATATAATGTTCTCTATAACCTGTTTCCACCTGGAACAGGATGGGAGAGGGTGACTCCCTCTGTAATGGGAAACAGTCATGTGCCGTCTTGGGGCCAGTTAAAAACAAAACAAAGGAAAAGAAGAGGAGCACAAGAAGAGAATGTGGAGCATGGGTCACTGACAGTCACAAAACAGTATCTGCACCACCATCATCAGTTATTATTATTTTGAAAAAAAAAAACTGTTTACAGGATCAGAGGAGAAAGCACACTTTTGGGGGGTTAAGGAGAATTCTTTTCGTCTCATTGAATCAGAAAGACATCACGTCCTGTCCCACTGTCACTGGGTTTATCGGACAATGTGGAGAATCTTAGTTAATGCACCTTTAAAGAAACAAAACATGAAACTTGATTTGTATTTTCATAATTTAACAGTAGTGTCTTCAGAGACGGTGAGCAAAAAGAAAGAAAAAGACTGGAGTACATCTCTGCCTGAAAAGTCAGAAGTAAGGATAATCACCTTTATTGGCCAAGTATGTTACACACACAAGGAATTTGTTTCCGGTACAGAACCGATGGCAGCCATCTGCGGTGCCAACTCAACCGATGGCTCTAACCATCGGGGGCAACTTAGGGGTTCTGTGTGACTCGAACCTCCAACCCTCCCGTTGGAGGGGGAGATGACTGCTCTACCCACTGAACCACAGTCGCCCCCATATGTAAATAAAATAAAAATAAAAATGTAGTTTAAAAACTTCAGAAACAGGTGCTGTTTGGAGTCAAGGTGACTGCATATAAAACAGAAAGAAATCCAAAAGGCACTCGAATCTTGAGATATAAAGATTTAAACAAGCCTTTAATAAAACATGGCTGACACCAACTTGTATCAGCTACAAGCGTTCATCAGGGAGTTTAAATAAAATACAAGTACAGACATTAAATAGCACATGACCTGACACATGACCTGACACTAAATAAGCTGCAGGTGTGTGGACAGAAAAGAGGCGCAGCCAAAATCAAAGCAACATGAACCACCACCCAATACAAACCCAAGTATCCCCACAATGCAACATACCAGAGCCAAAAGCAGAAGTCCACGCAAAAGGCAAACGCAAAGGAAAACCTCTACAACAATTGGGCAAAATCACTGGAGTCACTAAGCCCTGGAAATGCTGAAATCCAAAATGTTTCCCTCTGAAGTAATTGTCAGAGTCTGTCTCCCCATCTGACTAATTCATGGATGACCTCAGTGAACTGTCAATGGCTGGAAAAACATGTTCAAGAAAGAAAGAAAACTTTTAAACTGCATTAATCCATGTGTTACTTCTTCAAATAACCCACAGGGGAAAATTTTCTCATAATGTAAACCATTAAACTATCACATTTGTTCTGCCTCCACATGGAGGAGACACGCTCCTCCCAATTCCAACCCCCCTTTTTTTTGTTTTGATGAAAAGAAAAAATGGAGAAACAGATAAATAGTTCCTCTTTGGGGAAGTCTTACAAAAACCCAGAGCTCTGTTTGAGAGAGAAGGAGAGAAACAAACACCAGAACAGAGCCAGTGAGAGAGAAAGAGAGATAGGGAAGTGGAGAGTTAGTGCAAGGAGCAGAAGATAATGCGACTGGAGCAGACAGAAAACACAACCGCTCAATCTGCAACACTTCAGCTGTCTGTCAACTCTTTTGTGGCCATGGGTCCGTCATCCCAGAAGTTACTCTGAGGGCCAAACAAGGACATAAAGCGGAGGAGAGAGCGACAGAGGAAGGCAGAGGAAAGCAGTAAACCCTGGCTGAGGTGAGGAGCAAGCAGCTGTGTGAGAACAGAGGTGAAGGCAGAGAGACGTCAAGCGGGGGAGTGAAGGAGCGAGGCGCCCCGTTCTTCCAGCAAAGAGAGAGGGGAAACCGGGGAAAACAAGAAGAAGAGAGCAGAGGTAAAGAGCCCGGGGAGGAGGGAGAAGAGTCGGGCGGACATGGGGCTTTGTGCTGTTCTCCTCATCTGTCTCTCCCAGGCCGAGCTGGGGAGAGTCTGGGCTCAAGAGCATGAAGGTAAGCAGCAAATACACACAGGTATTCACATGTACTCAAGTCCTGCACAGAAATATTATCTGGCTTGAATTCCTTGGCACAAACTCACAACAAACATGCTTGTAAATGTTCTGGTTGAGTTGCACATGCGAAGCTAACAGGTCCCCTGACATTTCTCTCCGTCGGTGACTGGAAGAACATGAAAGGGTGCGTGTAGATCTGGACTTTCTTAAATCCAAAACCTCTGTGTTTCATTTACTTAAAGAAACCAAGTGTCTGCTGTTCATGTGCTCGAGAAATAAGAATCACGTGAATGGAAATCCTGTATTTTATCAGATAAATATTTGTTCAATTTAATCAGTAATTTTATTTATGACTTGTTTTCTCATTCTAGCAGGCGATTTATACGCACATAAAAAGTCAGTGACAGCAGCAGCTGAACCTTTGCAGTTTCTTGTTTTGCTCTGATTTCAAACTGTGTCTAATCATCAATATGTGGTCTCCTGTAGATGTATGCTGTATACTCCTTGGCCATACTGTCTGTGTGTCTGTATGTGCGTATGCGCATGTATGTATCTTTGTACTCCTTGGAGATACTTTATTTTTAGCCAGCCCCCGCTCTTCTGCTGCTGCTCCTCCTTCAACAATCAGTGGTGCTCCAGTTTCTCTGGCCTCTCCTGTGGTCCTAGTTCCTCTGATCAAGGGCCTGGCTCTGCAATGGACAACCCGACTGTGCACAGGCCAGAGACACAGATCTCCCCTAACATAAGACAACTCAGAGTCCAGCAAAATGTCTGTGTTCCTCTTCACCACTTAAATAGGTTAAAACCAAGGGTTGAGCTCCAGTTGTCAGCCCAGTAACAGCAGCTTTCCTATCCTGGGCCCTTCGCCCTCAGCCTGATAACTTCATCGTGCTTGCTCACACTAGAAAGTAGAACACTCTTCGCTAAGATGCTGGAAGCTCAGTGATAGTGACTATTCAATCTCCCAGTCACTTCTTTTGAAGGGAATGTGATTGTGTCACCCTGTCTTGCCTCACAGCTCACTCCAGACCACGCCAAATCTCCTTTGCAGAGCCGTTAGCACTCCAGCAGAGGTGCACAAAAATGGTTGTATGCCTGTCCCCATTCTCTTAGAGCTTAGCACTATTAAAACTGATCAACATCACACATTTCAGTGTCTAATTTTCCTAAAACTCTACACAAAGGTTTTGTACAGAGTTACGTCACTTGTTTGAATCCTGGCCGTGGTGATTCTATTGAATTAACTGATCTTAGTCTAAAATTTAGCCACTGTAAATGCTGGTGTGACCAGGCTTTCACATGGGCCTGCTGCATGTAGAGAAGAAATGGAATTCATCTGTGGAAATGACTGTACTGTTCATGTGCAAATGTTAGGTTGGCACTTTGTAAAAACAAAAATGCATACATCTAAACAATATTGTAAAAAATCATCCTACAGCACCTCTAAAGCTCACTCATTAACATCTTATAGCTTGCATTTAATCCATCTAGAACATATATATCACAGTATACATACTCAGACAAAATCTTTACCCCTCTCCCTGCTGATTAATCACACTCCAAAACAATCATAGCAATAAACCAGCAGGTAGCTGCTTAATGAATCAAAGCTGCCAAGCCAGTTAGGTCATGTCACTCTCGGGCCAGGTTGCAGACATGCAAACATAGACAAAAAATTCCAACAACTCTGAATTCTGGACTGGCAACCTCATGGAGACCAGAAGATTCTGGAGGTGGCGAGGACGCTGCCTAAATAGAAGGGATAAACAGGTGCAAACAATAAGGAGCAGGTGAACTAATGATGATTAATGAACGTAAAGAAAAGACCAGAACTAAGGTGAAACAAAACAGGAAATAGTGTCAAAATAAAAGCCAGACAGGAAGCAGTGGAACCGAATCATGACAGAACCTTCTTACAGAGCAAGGTGAGCTGTTTCCCTGTTCCCTGTGTCCACTCATTTCTTTATCTCATATAAAAAATAATCAGCAGATTTATTGACAATACAAATCTTTGGAAAACTAAATTCAAAGTGTCTGTCAAACTGTCATGTGGAATTGATTGGAACTGATTCTAAAGAGATTCAGAAAAAGATTAGTCAGCAGTTACTGTACATGTCTTATTAAAAAAGCCCCTATTGTGAAAACACTAATACACTGGAAACAAGTCTGGCCAAGCCCATCTGCAAAGCGGAACATGTTAGCTGCACTGAAAATCTGTTCATCTCCTAAATCAAACATCTTCTTAAACTCTGATCTATTTGTCCAAATATATCTCAAGGCCAGTTTTGTTTTTCATTTTCAGTTACTTATCAGTTCAGCTGCCAGTGTTTGTTAATGTGTTATGGTTACTGCTGCTCCTCTCAGTGTACAGGTGCCAGCTGGCTTCCTTCCACACCACAAACCCCAGGCCCGTTTTAACACAAATCACCCTTTTAAAATCCAACCACAATGAAACCGCATAATTAAACTACAGTGACACGTGGCTGTGGCCTCGTGTTGTGATTACTCTCCTTTAGTCAGAAGGCCGCAGGTGCTCTGTTAATCCCTGTCCTGACAATAACACTGTGTTTCATCGCCAACAGCACACAAAAGAGAACTGCTGCAAGACCCGGACTATCTCTATCTTGAGATTTAATAACCCCCCACTCTGCTGTGTTTGGACACTACATAATGGCTCACTTTCTTCAGTGTTTATGTCTCTGGAGCGAAGATGTTGGCTGTTTGTTCTCTCTGCTGGGTCTGCTGATAATTCTCTCTTCCTCTAGTACAACCCTTTGTGCCCTCAGTGCATCCTCTTCACTTGAACTACAAAGTTTTGTGAATTTACCCACAGAGAGGTTATTTCCATGGGAAATGTATTTTTCATCCCTAGACTTCTTCCAGCTAAACAGACTGAAAGACCATTTAGCTTTTGTCTCAGCTGAGGAACGTAGCTGTGGCTGCTGCTGAGCGCTTCCTTCAGCTGTCGTCTTGCTTTTAGAAGCTGTTCTCAATTAGTGAAACTTTGATCTATTCTGTTGTATAGACGTGTGACATCAAGAGAAAGTTTAGATCAGTATAAATAATTTGGTCTGCGATACAAACAGAAGCAATGATAGAAGCTCACAGAGCTCTGGAAAAAGGCAAAGAGAGAGCAAGAGTTCAGGAGGATGGGAAACAGCTGCATGGGAGATGGTAATGGACCAAATGCACAACCTGTATAACCACGGCACCACGTATATGCCTTAAAATAATGCGTCCTAGTTCGATTTGACTCCCAACACCCACTAGATTTGTGGCTGGAAAAATGTGTACACAAACATATACTTGATAAAGACGTTGACATACATTTTGTAGTAACTAATGCGTAGTCCCTGATAAGCCACTTCCTCCTCAGACCTCTTCCCCTGCTGCTCCACGCCTCCTCCGCTGTTTAGTGATAAGTGCTGCCAATCTGACCCAATTAGGAGCCTCTTGTTCTGAATCTCTGAATCTGAATCTGACATTTACTCCCATTCAGCCACAAGAACATTAGTGATGTCCAACACTGACGCTGGGTGATAAAGTCTGGACCACAGCTGCTATTCCAACTTTTCTTTTTCTGAGTTGAGGCCAGGGCCCTGTGCAGGTGTTTCAAGTCCTTCCACACCAAACAGGGAAGAATATTTCTTTATGGCAAATCTAAAGAGCTAAAGTTGGCAACTGGACTTACTTGAGGCTCTTAAAGGCATTTCCCCTCCTTCTGAGAATCTTCTCGTTAAATGTCTTCAAGAACATCAAGCACCCCTAACCCTGCCAGTTTTAGTACTAGCAAAGTGAAGATCCTCTGCTGTTTTCCTAATGCTGTGTACACAGGAGTCAGTGCAGCAGCCGGTTGCTAAAGCTGCTTTAATCTACCTCGCCAGGGATAATGTCCTCTGAAAAACCACCTAACAAGTGCCCTTCTTCTCTCAGGAGGACTCGCAGAAGTACTACAGACGGCAGAGTTTTGGTCCAACAGACAGCTATATTATGACCTAGACGATGGAGACTCTCCACAGACATTTCCTTATGAACTCAAGCATTGTCATGGTGAGACAGGAAAGGCTCTTCCTCAGAGGCAGAGGCACACGACTGACTAAAACATCACTGACTGCTGTAGCAGTAAGATTTTAATTGGAACAAACAGACCAAGCCGAAGCAATAAAACCACAAAAAAGTATTTGAACAGGATCCAGGGTGTCCACATATTTTTATCATATGCTGTAAACACAATTTTAAAAGAAAGAGGCCGAGAGGGGGTCTTAACCTCAGGCTGACTTTTGTCTTTCCCTTTCCTAACATATTGTTGTTTAACAGCTCAGCTTACATAAAATCCAGACAGCAAACTGGATACTTGTTCTTCATTAGGAAAACAGCAGAGATCTTCACTTTGCTGAACGAGCAGGGGGTTCTGCTGAACTGGCAACTGTGTCAATTCTCACAGTGCGCGGGAACGGGGAGTCATGGATCAATTTACTACTAAAATAAAAAGAAATACATTCCTGAAGGGAAGTAAATGTGAAAAATATAAACATCCAGCTATGATCTGTTGAACAGATGACAAGAAAAACCACACCAGAGAAGGTGGCTGGCAGAGACATAAACACAGACACAAATGTGGCTCCACGTGAACTCTGTGCATGCATAGGGATTACTGGGCCAATGTGGCACCAAGTGAAGGTTTCATCATGCCGCACAGGAAGTTCATTACCAGCCAGCCAAAGCGCACACTCCACATTATTAGTTTAAGGTGCTAAAACTAATAAGAAATCATGGCACGTCTGCAAGAGGTAAAGAAAATCTAGTTATGACTCTGTTTTCCTGGTAGTTTTTAGTCCTGCATGTCACTGCTCTGGATGCCATTTTCTGTGGAGACATCTGTCTGTTAATCATCCAAATTATGGTAACAATGCTGAGCAGATGTGATCACAGGCTTTAAAAGAAAACAAAAATTATGTCCACCCCAAAAACTCCCAAGCTAATCATTAATTAAAGTCATAACTTGGTGTTTTATTTGTTGAGGAACTCTTAGTGTGCCTCAACTGATGGTCAGTAACAGGGGAAGATTACTACAGCATGAATAAAACCTGCCGAAGAACTCTTGACCCTGCAAAGTTCAGGAGACATGTGCGTGTTCATGTATTCAATCCTCTTGAATGTGTCTGCATGCAGGGTCCACATGTGAATGCTGACTCTGATAATGCCTGTTTTTCATAGATGCACTAGGCCAGACTCCTCTGCAGACAGATGGGGGCCCGTCCAGTTTTCACAGAACCAGGAGGGACCAGCAGACCTTGCATAAACACAGACAAGCTCGCGACACACAGACTGAAGGTGGAGGAGTGGATATCAGCACCCTGCCTGATAACATGACCCAGATAGTGGTGAGATGCAAACCACCGGACCCTGTGCTAAGCCCAGTTCTCTTAGTTACTGTCAAGCTTTCTGTTCTAGCACAGTACATGTACATGTATCATGTTTACCATGATGCAAAAGGAACCTCCTCATGCTTTTAAAGACTACATTCATGGTATCATGGCTCAGAGTGAGACTGAAGCTACCACAGGTCCCACATAGGAAGTTAGCATGCTCATGAGCTGAACCATGTCCTTGCATTGCATTGTAGCTAGCTAGCCCTAGCATTATCCAAAAAGTAAAAAAATGTTACTTTGTTCAAACATTACCTCTTTTCAGTGCTACTACAGCAAATTCTTTTCTGGAAATCAACACAGTAGTTAGATTGTGCATTGCTGTTTTTATTGTCAGACAGTATGCTTTAACAAGAGTTTGCAAAGCCTGAGTAACAAGTTTGGCTGTAACACATCCGTGCTATTGGTTAATGCAGCTTAGTGAGCAAAAGGGAGTGCTTGGTTTGATGCAAGGCATCTCCCTGCTATTGCTAACACAGCTGAATCGTTGTCACATGAGACCGAGATCGCACAGGGATCTAACTCACACCCAGCGTGCAAAACAATTTATGGTGCAGCCCTAATCGTAATAATACTGAACGGTCAACAGAGGTCATGCCAGAGAAGCTTTGAGCAGATGCCACAGTTATTAGGTGTCTGCCAGGTGGATTTGATCTGTCATCTTCTATTCATCCCCTTTTAGGTCTGTGTGTGTTTGTGTTTATATGAATGTCTATGAAAAGGTTTTATGTCCTAGACTCCTCTTTCACTTTAATCGGCCTCAGTACAATTCAACCAAAATTTCCTTTCTCTACAATTCAAATTGAAAACAGACGACAACATTGTGCTGCCAACTTACAGTGTGTGTTTAAGTGTAACTGTGTGTTAGCATGTGCACGTGTGTATGCTTTTGAATGACTCACTTGCACAAGATCACAAGTAGCTCTGTTGTACTGCTGCTGGTGACTCTTTCCGAGAGGTCCGATCCCAACTTTCGAGAGCCTCTGTCTCTTGTTCAACGGGAATCTCTTCAATGAATCAGTCAGCTGTGAGAGAAAAGTAAATGATTGTTCACATCTCCTCACCTAGAAATCCCACACCCCCCTCTAGAAAACACAGGCTGGTGTCAGGCAGCAAAAAAACTGGGTCATTTTCTGTATATAGAGCAGCCGGAGAGGCAGTGACAGTGCTGCATTTAACTGCTCCACTTTCTGAGCCCACGCCAAACCCCAGAACTATTGCTCTCTGTCACCTTGAACTGTGGCATATATTAATAACGCCATCAAACCCAGAGATCTGTACAGAGAGACGGGCCCTTGTTATCAAAGCAGCGGGTGTAATGTGTAAACAGCTCCCCCAGGTGGAAGTGTATGGATGGAAACATGTGCCCTTGTCCCATTGCAGTGGTTCCCCCTTCACCCTTCACACAAAGCAGTGTCCTCTTTGATTTAGTGTTGTGTGTCCATGATGCAAGAGCAGATCAATCAAAGGATGATTCTCCCTTTTCATTCTCATTTGAACAGTAGTGATGTAACTGATCCGAGTTGACTCGTGATTCATTTTAAGATTTTATTGAAACTTAGGAGACACTTTCATTTTCTGATCTGAAAAATGATCCGACCCATGCCCTGTTAAATAGTGTCCATAAGAAAGAAGAAAACAACTAAATGAAACAAATTTTGTGTTGTCTCACCTCACAGCTCCTGGGTCACTCCCCAAATCCCCCGGGGGAAGGGGGGGGGGGGGCATCACCAAGGCTGGGAACCAGTGTCCGGTGATCCTCTCTGATTCACCATCACTGGATCACCTGATAACAAAATGGCTGAAAAAAGAATGAATTAAATAAAAATTCAAGTTCAGTGTTCGGCACAAATCCATCTTATTCTCTTTAAAATGATGAAGGCCACCAATACACCTTGATCTGCAAGCTAGTCATGAAAATTACAATTAGATATTTTTGTCAAATTGTTCACCTACACCTATCAGCCATAACATTATGACCACCTGCCTAATGCTGTGTACACAGGAGTAAGTGCAGCAGCTGGTTGCTAAAGCTGCTTTAATCTACCTCACCAGGGATAATGTCCTCTGAAAAACCACCTAACAAGTGTCCTTCTTCTCTCAGGAGGACTCGCAGAAGTACTACAGATGGCAGAGTTTTGGTCCAACAGACAGACGGACTGAAGCCTTGTGGGTAGATCTGAACATGCTGCACAAGAGTCAAGTCCGAATCCACGGCATACTGTCTAATACACACCGTCAGGCAGCGGTGAGAGGAGCGTGCACACACACACACACACACACACAGGCCAGGACAAACAACCATCTGATTCAACACCCATTTATGTCTGCTACCTTTTCTTTTCCACAGAGGGTGGCGCTTTCTTTCGATTTCCCTTTTTATGGGCACTACTTAAGACAAATTATCGTAGCAACTGGAGGTGAGTTCCATGTTGTATTATTTGACATCAGGGTAGCACACACACCTGCTTTGCTCGTCCAATCAGGAGACAACATCCACCAGTGAGCTGAGGGATATTTTGTCCTACCCTGGGGAAATACTCAGGCCATAATAAATCTCACTAATTGTAAATGCCTTCGCTTTTTTTTTTTTTTTTTTTTTTGATGGTTTTAATTGCTTAAAGGCTTGCTGTGTATGCCCTAAATTTAAATCCAAAGAAAATAACCATGCAAGAATGGGCGGCTGGTTGATTTCACATTGTTGCTTTGATAAAAATTCTATGAATATGCACAAGATGGAGACAAAATCTCATGGGTCACTTGCACAAAATTGGTTTAACTTTGTTCTTTCTGTTTCCATGAGACAATCCTGTTAAATCAAGCATCATTTGTGATGAACTGCCTCATACAACTGTGTGTTTAACAGTGTAATGCTGTGTAAAATGGCTGTGTGGCTCATCATGTCACCTGTCTTCACGTTTCTGCTGTTAAAGGAGCCAAATGAGACAATCTGATTAAATGTAGAGGTTTGAAATGTTGTTTTGCAGTATTTAACTTCATAACAGGTATAAACATACAACATGCACTACAATGGTCCTTACAGTTGTGCTAATTCACTGAATGAGGCATTTTTAACATACATATTGTGTTTCTGCCCCCTCCCACCAGGCTTCATCTTTATGGGGGAGATTACTCATCGAATGCTAACTGCCACACAGTACGTTGCTCCCCTCATGGCCAACTTTGACCCCAGCTTCTCCAGAAACTCAACAGTGAAGTACTTAGACAACGGTAAGTGGGAGTTCCTCTGTGAAGCCGGTACTGTTTGGGAACTCCTGATCACCCCTGACGGACCTCTGTCCCTGACGGACCTCCATGTCCTCAGGTAATCTATTTGTGGTGCAGTGGGACAAAGTTCGGCTAAAGGACCGAGAGCCTGAAGGAGCTTTTACATTCCAGGTGGCCCTCTACAAAAACGGAACCATTGTCTTCAACTACAGAGACGTAAGCTACAGATTTCAGCCGTTCTCATCATCAGGTCAGGTTTGGCCATGTTAAAACAAACAGCTGTTCCTTTTCAGATCCCTGTACCAGTGGTGAAAATGAATTCCACTGAGCACCCAGTCAAAGTGGGACTGTCTGATGCTTTCATGGCGTCCCTCTCCTCCTCGCAGCTCCAAGGTCAGTTCTCTTGTAATAATAAAAAGGTTTTTCCTGTTACCAACCTACTTTACTGTAAAAAGAAATGTTCTTGTTATAACAAAACGCCATATTTGTAGAGTGTAAGACCCTTACATCCAGACCATGGTATTGGTTTGTATGTTAGCCGATGAGTAACAAGAAACTGAAGCGAAGAGCTATGAAATGAAACGGATCTCTGTAGTAACTGAGAAACTGTTCATGTTTGTCCACCAGAGGGCACTAACAGGCTGCGTCTCAAATTCATTATAAGCAGATTTAAAGATGTGTATTGTGTTTGTCAAAAAAACAAATACTGCCTGATACATGGGATTTAAAATGTTAATATTAACCTTAAAAATCAGGGTCCAGAAGAAACTTTCATAAGTTCTAAAAAGAAAAATATACTAGGTATTAAGAGGTCAGGAAGCAGCCTTTAAAACATGGCAGAAACACAAAGCTTGCAAACACACTAATATTTCATATTTGTCTTGAAGATGCGAACCGACGCACTATCTATGAGTATCACCGTGTTGAGATCGACACCACAAAGATTGTCAGTCGATCTGCTTTTGAGTTCACACCTCTGCCCAGTAAGTGTCGTTACAAACCGGCCTTTGCACGACAGCCTCGCCTCATTACTCACGTATCTAACTCCAGAGCACTGTGTCCGATTCCTCCAGCTTGCCTTCAACACACATCCTGTGATTTGTGCCTGACATCCAACCTGACAGCTGGCTGCGGCTGGTGCAACACACTCCAGCGGTAGGCTGAAACTCTACAAATGTGTTGCGATGAAGCCGTAGAGAGCCTGGCTCTTCTCACTTTGTTCTCATTGAGTTTCAGATGCTCGGATGGTATTGACCGGCACAGGCAGGAATGGATAGATTATAACTGCCCTGAAGAGGTGAGATATATTTTCCATGTATATGGCACAGAAGTGAGCCACAGAAGAGGATTAGGGCCATAGTAAAAAAAAATGATTTGAGTTCTGACTTTAATTTCAGAATTGTGACTTTTTTCTCAGAATTCAGGGAAAAAATGTCAGAATTTTTTTTTATAGTGAAACCTATTCCTCTTCCGTAGTGAACAGCTGAATTGTTTGTTGAATCATTCCTGTGGGTGTTCACTCAGGCTAAAGGCACATGTGAGGACTACAGCCCAGTGCTACCTGAGGGATCTGTGAGCTCCTTCAACCACTCTTTCTCTGGTCCGACACCTTCTTCAGGTGACCAGCCTGTCACTGGTGGTGAGTTTCTCTCAGTCTAGAGGGAAACAGACAGTGAAGGTTTGTCAGTAAAGGTTCACCTCAGCTGTCCACATGGTCCAGTGGCTGGACAAAGTTGAACCCAAATCACTGCACTGGAGTTTTGATTGAAAACTGGAAGCAAATAGTTTGTATTCATCATTTTTCAGAGAAAGTGAAGCAGCATCGCACACCACACAAGGTTCATCGCTTTTGTGGCACTTCAGTGTTTAATCAGACCTGTAGCAAACACTGTCGCAACTATTTGAGTAGGAATTACTTTCCAACTGCCTCATCAATCAGTTTTCTGCCACTTATCTGAGGCCAGGTCACATTAAATTGTTATATTGCAGTGAATTATTGTTATATACAGTGGGGAAGTATTGACAAAATGCCATATGTCAATAAATGAATATAGACTATGTAATAATTATATAATTTTATAATTATAAGAATGGGCCTCATAGCACTCTACTGCTTTTCCCTCATTTGACCACTTTGACTGTGTAACAGGCATTACATTGGAGTATCTGTGGTATTACAAAAGTCCTAAAAAGTCTTAAGTTTAATGTGGGTGACCACTGCAGACACACTGATATTATCCCAGCCTGTTGCCTTAGATGGAAACCTACATGAAATATTCCTTTAACACCACCAACATCCTCTGTTTTCTTTGCTTTCAGATGTACAGACGGGTTCTCCAAACCATAAGGGGATAACAGAGAACACAGCCATCATTGCAGGTGTAGTGGCTGCCCTGGTTCTGCTTGTAGCTCTGACCTTACTCGCTGTCTACTACATCAACACACACCCAACGGTTGCCCCACCGTTCTACCTCATGCAGGTGAGGAAAAACAACCTCATCCTCCATCGATACCACATTTTCATGCGCTCTGTAGTTAACAACTACTATTTGATGTTTGTAGCGACGTCCCAACAACTACTGGCCCTCTATGAAGTTCCGCAACCAGGGCTGCCACTCCAGCTACGCTGAGGTCGAGCTCAGGGGTCATGAAAAGGAAGGCTTCATTGAAGCTGACCAGTGCTGCTGAGGGAACTGTACCTGCAGGACGGAGTCAGAAGGAGAAAGGATACCATCTTGAGGACTGTGACAGTATGACAAGGGGTTGACTATGGACGATCAGGCAGACCTTAACACAGGGCATCCCTGCTCCAGCCTTGCCAGCTGGACAGTGTGTACTGTAACTGCTCTTGTGTCTTGCTCATTGCCATTACACCCAGGATTTGAAATATTATCCAAGGGTTGGACGAAGTGAGAGGGAGCTGCCTGTACAGGAATGATGAGATGCAAACATGTAACTGTAACAAAACCCATCAATCCAAGGGGCTGTCAGGGAATGAATCAAACTAGCCTTCATACTGCAAATCAACATACAGCTCAACTTCACTATGTCTTTTTGTTTTTCATCCATTTTATGAAGTAATTCACAGTGGCCCCAAAGCACTCCATGCACACAGAAAACATCTTTATCAATTTGACAGTACAAAAAAACATAATACCAAATACTGACTAGGCATTAGTGGTTCTGCAAAATGAGAAAGCTTAACATTTTGTCTGCTGTTGTGTGTTAACTCTGCAACATTTGTCTGCATTTGCTCGTTTTCAGTAGCTTCATGTATTTGCGGCTTGTTTCTCTGTTTGTTTTTTCACATGTAACAGTTTTTTTCTAAAATGCTGAAGCTGTTTTGTTTGCTTGTGTTTTCACTTGTGTTTTCTTACGGTGTGATGTTGAGCTCTAAGGGCCACTGTGTGATTTTTAGTTCATAAAATTTCCATAAGAGCAATGACTGGTTCATAAACTGTTATATGGACTTCACTACAACAGATATTTAGCTCTATAACTAACTGTAATGACAATGATCATCTCAATCTTCTCTGGACAAATAGACTGTATGAATTTTAGAGACATCGAGTTATGAGGGTTTTCTTTCAATCTTTCTGTTTAAATGTCTTCCAATAAAACTTGGTGGCGAGTGTTGATATTAATCTCATGCTCAGTGAGAGCCTGAAAATCTATGGAACAAATCATCCTGATCTATAATTAGTGCAGGTGTATTGACAAAGTGTGATGAGGTGGTTATGATTAGTGCCCCAGGCTGCCTCATGTATCATTTTACATTCGACTGATATGGAGCGCTAATAATCAATCAATTTTAGCAATCGTTTTTATGTAAAAAAAAAATAAATAAAAAAAAATAATTATATATATATATCTTTGGTATATATCCAACTTCTTTAATGTGAATATTTTCTGATGTTCCAGTTCTGTTCAGCTGAACAGAACTGATGAAGCCTCTTGGATGAGAGGTGAAACGTCTTCGACCTAGAAATCATTCTAAGTTTTTCAGCTTACTATGACCTGAATGGCTGAAAATCTGCACAGACAAACAAACACGTGTGCTGATATTTGACTTACGGGTCGATGTAGACACACTAACAAAACGAACAGGACAAATGAAGGCTGTAACACGTGTATAAGGACATTAACTGTGTAACCGCAGAAACATTTGGGTAGCATATTGCATACAAAACCCAGGTGGAACATTCCATTCTAACAACTACTGGGTCAGGTGGAACATACCATTCTAACACACTAGTGGGTCAGGTGGAGCATACCATTCTAACACACTAGTGGGTAGGGCTAGGAATAGTCTAAATGGAGCCATAAGTGAAATACCGTGACAAATACAGTTTAGTAAAACATAAAACTGCATTTGTGAGTTCGAATTTATATTATTAAAGAATAGAGCATTTGTTTTAGCCGTGAACTGGGATAAACTTTACCATAACGGTAAATACCATAACTGTCTTCTGAGGCGAGCCCATTCACAGCCTTACATAGACATAAACATAGATATACACTGTACATCCATGCGATGTGTATGGATGACTTTTTTTTAATTGAAACAAAGTAACACATTAACAAAACAGGACCGAACATGAGAGACAAGACAACAGATACATGACTTTACAAAAAGATATAGAGTGTTTTACAAGACTGTAGTGTGTTGAGGGTGTAAAGTGTAGGTATCTCTAACTTATGCAGCCTATGAAACGCAAGAAAGGATTTTTTTTTACAATAATATTGATAAGAAAACTGCTAATAAAAGCAGCTTGTTACATTTTTAAAGGTTGGTGGGAATGTGTGTGGCCTCAGCCCCAGGTATTTGATTCAAGTTGAAATGTGTTAAAAAATGGTTCCATGCCTCATAAAAAGCAGATAAACTATTCTTGTGAGTGGATGTCGTTTTCTCTAATGTGATGTATTCTATCAGAAGGTTGGTCCAGTGGTTTATGTGTAGTGATTTTTTTGATTTCCAGTTTTGAAAGAGTTTTTTCTTGGCAATAGATAGAGAAATGATGAGTGGGTTTTTGTATTTAATTGGTAGGTGGTCGATGTCTGTGATATTACCGAGTAAGCAAAGTGATGGAGAAGGAGGGATTCTACAGCCCAAGATGGTGGAGAGTTTATATTATATGGTGTGCTCCATCTCCAACATCCTTCTACCAATATAACCACTATCCCTCCTCTGTACATGTCCAAACCATCTCAATCTGGCCTCTCTGACCCTTGTCCCCAAAACAGCCGACCTGAGCTGTCCCTCTGATGTGCTCGTTCCTAATCCTGTCCATCCTGGTCACTCCTAAAGAGAACCTCAACATCCTCATCTCTGCTACCTCCATCTCTGCCTCTTGTCTTTTCCTCACTGCTACAGTCTCTAACCCATACAGCATAGCTGGTCTCACTACTGTCTTGTACACCTTTCCTTTGATTCTTGCTGCCACTCTTCTGTCACACAACACTCCTGACACCTTTCTCCACCCACTCCAACCTGCCTGCACTCGCCTCTTCACCTCTTTCCTACACTCCCCATCACACTGGACTGTTGACCCCAAATACTTAAACTCCTGCACCTTCTTGACCTCAGCCCCCTGTAACCTCACTGTTCCACTTCCCTCCCTCTCGTTCATACACATGTATTCTGTTTTACCACGACTGACTTTCATTCCTCTTCTTTCCAGAGCAGACCTCCACCTTTCCAGGTGTTCCTCCACCTGCTCTCTGCTCTCACTACAGATCACAATGTCATCCACAAACATCATTGTCCACGAAGATTCCTGTCTGACCTCATCTGTCAACCTGTCCATCACCTGTCTGACCTACAGCACATCTCACTACTGTCGTACTCCTCTCATACATATCCTGTCCATCACCTGTCTGACCTACAGCACATCTCACTACTGTCGTACTCCTCTCATACATATCCTGAACTACTCTGACATACTTCTCTGCCGCTCCTGACATCCTCATACAGTACAATAGCTCCTCTCTCGGCACTCTGTCGTAGGCTTTCTCTAAATCCACAAAGACGCAATGCAGCTCCTTCCGACCATCTCTATACTTCTCCATTAACATTCTCAGAGCAAAAACTGCATCACTAATGCTCTTTCTGGGCATGAAGCATCATATTGTTATGCTGGATGCCCTTCCTGACACATGCATAATTGCACATTGACAGTTGACTGCTGCAGATGCAGCTCCCATGTAGCACACATTCTCTTATTATATTCTTATGTATTTTTATTATATCTCTGCATTTGCTGCTTAAAGTGCCTTAGATTTTGTGTTACTTATTTATCTACTTTATATTTCATTTGTATTTTGAGGCATTCAAGTGGATGGCAAAGTAAGAATTTCATCATACAGCGAAACACGTTTCCTAACTGTGCATATGACAAATAAGCACTTTGACCTTTGTTTGACATATATAGTGTAAAGATGACTTAAAAGACATTACTGGAGAGAAAAGAGGGGGCACCCGGATTTGAACCGGGGACCTCTTGATCTGCAGTCAAATGCTCTACCACTGAGCTATACCCCCGATACACGAAACTTGGGATAGGCTATTTATATTTCTGTTGATATTTCTATGGACTGTTGTTTTAATTTATATTCTGTGTGCACCATCGCACGACGATGTAACAACACAGAAGGTTAATGGTTTAATCCCAAAAGTAGCATTTACGTTCAGCGAGGACAAGATGGCAGACGCAAGTCCATGAGTTGTAATTCATGTCATTGTCCGGCAGACAGCGCCAACTAGACACATTTGAACAAAATGTTAACCCTCATTTAGTAAAAACAAGCACTAATATTCATATCGGTTTTATTTTCTTAAATTATTTTTTAACATCCCCTAAAGTATTAATTTGTCTGCAAACCCCATTCTGGGATTTTAAATGTTATTGCATTACATTGTGGTATTAGTACTTGTCTCCTAAGATTATTGCGAATTCCAGTTAATGCATTTGAGGCTGCCTTCAGGTGCTCCGTAGAAATACGTGATTAATACCTCTTAAGTGGGATGTGTACACTTGTTATTCTGGATCATTTTGAGGATTTTAAGTATGAATACGAGTGATAGCACAGCATTCTAGTAAAACCTACGAGCCCATCACGAATTCCTCATTGACCTTTATATAATGAGCATGCTAGGTAACCTATTAACAACACACAACCAGTAAGAGTTCCTATAACCGACGGTCATGAAGGCATCATGAAGGCTTCCTGTTCCAAGCTTTACTCCTCCTCGCCTTGAGGTCCAGTCCCTATATTAACTGAAAAGCCTGGAGGCGAGGGGGAGGATGGTGTGTGCTTTAGCAGCTCACCACAGCCTGCACTTTACTCCTGAACACTTTTTTATTTTACTGGATCTGTGAGGTTTTCTTTTTGTGGTGTGAGGAATCCCTGCGCCATCATGAACCCACCCTGTGGAAGATGCAATAAACCAGTTTATCCCACAGAAAAAATAAACTGCCTTGATAAGGTAGGTGATACCAGTCTAACTCCTTTTAACAACTAAAATAATATTCTAAATGACACTAGCTTTCTGCAAAGATTTAGCCTTCTATATTATTATTTCCTTAATCCAAATACATTTTGTGATTTAAAGTTGCACAGTTCTCACACAAGATGCCACTTTTGATTAAAAATAGCTGCTTTATATTTCTCAGAATGTTTTACAATATGGTTAGTAAAGAAGCCTGTTTCTCTGAGGCCAATGTTTGCATTCATGTCAGAAAGTGTATTCATTTTCACTATTATGTTGATATAGTCTGTACACATATAGGTCTGTCTCTTCTGAAGAGATCCCTGCTTTGCTACTCTTCTTGAGGTTTCTGTCACTTTTTCCTGTTAAACTTAGTTTTGGGGGAGTTTTTCCTTATCCAGTTCAAGGGTCTGTGGACAGAGGGTGTCGTACGCTGCACAGATTGAGGCAAATGTGTGATATTAGGCTATATAATAATTATGTGGCTAACTAAATCCTTATTTTTGTGAACACATAAATCCACATACTCTACTGTATATACAAACACTAGAAGTACACTCTAAGGGCACACTGTGGAGAAAAGCCACATCCGGTAGATACACTCTGGCCAGAAACTTGTAAACATAAAAAAAAAAAAAAACTGAGTATGTACAGCACACAGTGTGTCCCTTACTATCAGTATCAGCTTGTCTAGCTGTACTCTGATAACGTGTCTGTAACCAGCTAAATACAAGAGTTTGATTTACGAACAGTCTAAGCTAATTTAATCAAGTTAAGGACACAATCAAAGCCAACATAATTTCATTAAGAGTGCTGGACTTTAAGCCGATCAAATAAATTATGCAAACAACTGAGGGAGTAGAGTTTCTGCAAACAGGTTATGGTATGCATCAAACAGTATTCATCCTCATTGGTAACTTTGCACCGTAACCATCTTGTCCAGTGCAGATATGGGAGGAACAGAGCAGCACAGGCCAGTAAAGGAATTTTCCCACTGCAAGTTACTGAACTCCACTTTTTTCATGCTGGTGCCAAGTACATAAATTTAAACAGCCAGCAGAATATCTTTCCCATCTTAATGCAGGGTGTTTTTGTTGAGTGGTTAGAGCTTTATTTTGTTGGAAATAGTACTGAACTTAATATCTTACACATTATGGCTGACATTTTGCTCTGCTTCTCTCTAGTATTGGCACAAAGGTTGTTTCAGCTGTGAGGTTTGCAAGATGGCCCTGAGCATGACGAACTACAAAGGATTTGAGAAGAAGCCCTACTGTAGTATGTGAGTGTTTACACTGCACAGATCGCCCCAGTGGCTAAACTGAACAACAGTTCAGACGAGCTTTAGAATAACTGTATAGATTTGTGCTGTATTAGCAGGAGTAACATCCAGACTCCAATTCAAAAGGTAAACTCTCATCCTGAAAATGTGGCCACAAAGATAACATGTAGTATTATGAATCTGCATTTCATCTTTTATTTGTGTTTACTGCAGTGATAGTCTAAGGTATTCTGCTTTTTTAAGCAGCAGTAAAAGTTGTCATTTTTGGAGGTTTTGGTTGTTTCACCACACACAAAACCTTCACTTGTCAGGAATGGAGTCGATGCTCATTTCTGAAGCAGCTGAAACACAGAGATGAGCTGCGGAAGTTGCAGTGTGTGGGGAGAGTGAACAGACAGACTACATCATGTGATCCCAACAACCTAACCTGAGTCTGACTCCAGAAAATACCTCAGTATATTTGAACATTTGTGACTTTGATGACGGTGCTCTTTTTTTTTTTTACATTGCCCATATGTTAATGGACACAAAGACAAAATAAACTGCAACAAATTTCTAATTTGCAACTCTATTCCCACCTAAATATAACTAACAAATACACAACAATTTAAACTAAATGGAAACAAAGTAAACATTAAATGCAGTAATGAAACAATAAAACAAAGCAGCAACACATCTCAGGTTTGACAATTACTAAACCTACATGCATAAAACCAACATGCCAGATCATTCTTATGCAAAGGCCTAAAAAGAGAAAACAGAAGTAGTAATAATAATAAATGCTGAAAAACAAAGAGCTGAGGTTTTACAATAAAAATCCCCTAATTGCATAAGATTTCCTAAATATTCCCACAGTCTTGAATTTCTAGAGTGAATTTCTGTGTTTTCCCCCAACTTACATAACAAAATACATTTCTTAGCAAAGTATGTAATCACAATTTACAGTGGTTCATAAAGTGGTGAACTCACAGCCCCTCTTCACCTCATGTTTAGTTCCTTCAAAGATTTAAAATGACTTCATTTAAAAAAAAAAAAAAAAAAAAAGAATGTTCTGGTTTGGTTTTTGTGAATGACAGCACCATCATGTTTTCCAGTCATTTAGCTTCTCTGACGAAAAATATTTACAAATAAATCCAGTACAATATAAGTATGTGCAAAAGAGGGAGACAGTTTTGCTGTCTGTTTTCTTCCAGGCATTACCCCAAAACCTCCTTCACTATAGTGACCGACACCCCTGAGAATCTGCGTCTCAAACAGCAGAGCATGCTCAACAGCCAGGTGAGACCCTCGCCTCTGTCTCCGCTATTGCTCCTGCTCAGTCTCTGGTTTCTCGCACAGGCAAAGATCCTGGTCCTAATCGTGTTGCATCATCACGACTCTGTGCATGTGCATTTATCTGTCTCACAGCAGGAGGACACACCTTTTTGGTGTAAAGATTTAAGATTGAACTTAAACCGCCTGATCGGATCTAAGCCATATGAAGTGTAACTGCTTCTCATAAGAGCACAATTTAGATTTTAATTTTGTGCTTTTAACACAGATCTCTCTCTTTGTTTGGTTCTCTCTTGTGGCACATGCTCAGTCTGCCTCTCTGTCTGCTCTCACTGTTCTTTAGCTCTAATCTAATCACACTGTTCATGTCAATGTTCAATTTAAACTAATCAGAGGGATAAGTGCTCCAAGTCACGCAAAATTAAAACATTTGGCTGAATTTTACATCAGTGGCTGTCCGGTCACTCAACATTTGGAGGCTAAAATCTTGCAAAAGGTAGAAATGTTTTTATCAGCTCCTAGAACTCATCGTTCTTTCAAGGCTGCATTTCTGCAAACTTACAATCACCTGTGTTTGTGAAACAAAATCTTTAAATCTATGGAAAAGAGGTAAATGTGACTACACTCTGTACGTACAGCATATAAAGAAATGCCCACAATTGAAATCCCATATGTGCTGCCTGGCCTTAAGGCGGATAAACAGCCCTTTAAACTGTCCTTCTTACAAGTCTGTTTGAGATACAGTGTGCTAATTACACTGCTGCTGGGTCTACTGTGGAATATAGGACAGAGCCAGACTGGTTGTATACCCCCTGCTGCCTGTCATCATGCTAAGCTAAGCTAATCAACTCCTGGTTCCAGCCCCATACTTGATACACAAACTTTTCAGCAGAAAGAAATTAGGGTATTTCTCAACTATTATATACATTTTAGAAAATATTCTTTGCATTTGAGAATGAATCCCCAGGACAGATGCTGAAAACTTTACAGAATAAGTCAATGTTTATCAGTGGGGATAAACTGCTGAAGGAGCACTGATTATGTTATGCCACTGATCGATTTACCTCATGGTGTTCAACAGGAACACTTCTGCATGATCAAAACCAGCTCCTGTCATTAAAGACTCAGGTCATGCTTCTTTTCACGGATAGTTGTACAGATTTCTGCTTCCACACACAAAACAAAAGAGGTGAATGGTCGAAGGTTTGAGAAATACATCTGAATGAGTCAACATGATTATCCTGAGTAATTGATGAGCGTTTGCTTGGTTCAGTCCCACTAGAGCAGGGGTTTTCAACCAGTGGTCTGCAGCCCCCAAGTGGTCTGTGGAAGCATTGCAGGTGGTCCTTGACCATGCATTCAATAATGTTTCAGTGCAGGAACCATTACATTTGTAATTTTTAAACTGATTTCCATGTATTAATTATTGTTTATAAATAATCAAATGTAGAAGTAGAAGTACAATTGATAAATTCTACACAGATGTATAAAAACTAAAAGAAACAAGCCTGAATTGAAAAAGTAGGGAGTAGAAAATACAGATAAGGTGGTTAAATTGTAGGGAGTAAAAGGAGTAAAAGTAACAAAATGTCAGAAAAATAAGTACTCAAGTAGATTACAGGCACCTGAACAATCTACTTAAGTACAGTAATGAAGTATTTGTACTTTGTTACTTTCTACCTCTGACTAGAGGCAGGTGAGAAATATTCAGCCATCTATGATTTTAAACAATCATGTAACATAACTGTGTTATTATACTGCATGATATCATGATTAAATTTACACCAAAAGCTGTTTATGCCTCTCTTTCTCTCTCTGTCTCTGCATGTGTGTGTTTCTTCTCGTCTCATCCAACCGAGCCAGTTCATCGTTTATAACCATAAAAGTCTCGGCAGTCGAGCTCTCTCACTGAGACAGCATATCCCTCATAGCTCTATATACATATATATATATATATATGGAGCAGTTTGAAAAGAGCAAGGGGAAAGATTTCAGTGTGGTGGCTGATGGTCCAGAGATGTAGATGGTGAAAAGACACAGGACTCGATCAGTAACGTAGGTCTGGTTGACCTAAAAAAAAAAAACCACAGAGCATCATAAATCGAAATCTTAACTTTAGTTCTTTGTTACATCTCTACAATCATAACAATTAATGCATCAACTTTTTCCTTCCTTCTTAGACACATTATGGAAGTTGAAGATGCAACTTTAGATTACAGACATGTACACGTTAGCCAGCTACAGTATGTAGGCGTCTAGCCAGAAGAAAACCACATCTACGTCAAATTCTTGTCCTTTGGATGCTTTTAATACTCTCCATCGCCTACATGCCAAACCGATGTTAACTCTGGTTCTGCCTCGCTTTTTATGGTACTCTTTTTGTGCAACAGAACGCAGCCTCTTGGGTTGCTCCGTTCCCATCCGGGGTTGTACCTGCATAGGGAGCCTCCACGGTCCGTCTTTGAAATGAGCCATACTGGTTTGAAAATCACACCACGGAAGTAGTGCTGTGCAGATTTTACCAACACTGCCCAGAGAGGCGTAGAAGAGAGGGGGTGGGGGTATTAGTATAGCAGGAAGGAAACACTTTTAGGCCATTTTTTTTATCCAAATTTGTTTATTTAAATCTTAGTTAATGCAGCTTTAAAGGTTTTTAAAGGAGGCAGATCTTGTCATGTTGAATGTATTTTCCAAAATATTGAATCATTCCTCTAAAATAACATCGTTTCCTATTGTAACCTTTCAGGCCCTTTACAAGGAGGAGTTTGAAAAGAACAAGGGGAAAGGTTTCAGCGTGGTGGTCGACACTCCTGAGATGCAGAGACTGAAGAAGACACAAGACCAGATCAGTAACGTAAGTGTAGTCCCTCTGAGAACTACTGGGGCAGCCAAATTACAACTGTCACATATTTATATTTATAATGTGTGCAGATAGTTTTGGTTTCACAGTTTTGGGGTAACTGGGACACTGTATACCGCACTTGAAGTTTTCAATGCTTTACTTAAGCAACAATCTTTTTCAAGTTAGTCATTGCTTTTCACTCAAAGACAAATCACATCACACTGTAACTTCACTCAAGTCTACAAAGCTTGTTTGACTTCTGCCCCAAGAAGAAGATTAATCTAACTTCACAGTGAAACATCTGGTAGATATCTCACTGCAACGGCAAAAATGATGGAGAGCAGAGGATTTTCTCTGCTAGGAACAAAAAACAAACAGGCAATGGCCAGAAATAACCCTGCTGATACAACATGAGCGATTTCGCTTTCTAACAGGAAACCAGTGCAGTCCAACAGCAGGAGCCATTTCAAAGTAGGATCTTAGATTTGCAGGCTGTGTAGACATGAGCAGAGAGAACAAACTGCTCTGGAGAGCAGTGAAGGATGTTAGTGTGATCCTGCAGAGACCCACAGGAACATTTCAGACATTTCTCCTCGTCCACTGAGGAGCAGCTGCCCTATATGGTCAAAGTCTCTCAGCTGTGGACACAGAGCGAAGGTCTGCTCTGTGCCGCGCACACACTGATAGATATGTGCATACCACACTGACACACACACAAACGTTCTCGGTTTTCTCTCATGAGAGCAGCTGTTGCAGGAAGGAATGACGGATGATAAGCTGCATGTCAAAAGGGCAAAATCTAGCAACTTCCTTTTCAACTGGTAGCTTTATATTTCTTTTCTATTTCTTACTGTCTTAGTTAAACTTTCTTCTTCCACCCCTCCCACTTTGTTTTTACATCGTTTTAAAGTTGCCCTCTCTTCTCCTGTCCTTTCCCACAGTGTCATCTTTCTCCACTTGAGGTCTGTTGAGGACACAAGGGGCTGCACTTTCTTTTCCTTATTCGACATCCTGTTTCCTCTTCCGTCCCCTAAAAGCTCTGAGCAGTCAATTTGTTTTAGAGTCTCAGCTTCTATGTCTCCTCATAGACTTACTGCATGTTACACAAGCATCTAGCTTTTACACCTTTATCTGCTTTTACTGGAAGGTTGGACTGTATCACACAAATCAGTTTCAAGTAATGCTCTAAAGATTCACTGTGCCTGTAGTCGTATACGTAGTACTCTGGATGAAGCAATTCATAACGGAGCTGTGTTCAGGCTACAGGACAAAAATATCAGAGCCAGAGTCCAGTTGACAGAGGGGTCAACTCCAATGCTTTAAATATCATAAAAAAACAGAAACAATAACAGAGGGGATAGATCTTCTCAATGTATTGCATATTAGAAGTAATAATGTTTTACTTTAGAAACACCCATCCATTATCTATACTGCTTATCCTGAAATAGGGCTGTGGGGGGTGCAGGGCTGGAGCCAATCCCAGCTGACGCTGGGCGAGTGGCAGGGTACAACCTGAACAGGTCGCCAGTCAAGAAACAAATGTGCTCTGCCAAACCACAGTAAATTAAAAGATGGGGGAAACAGATCACTGAGTAGCATGAAGAGATTTCTTTCTTTACAATCTAAAATATGTTCATACAGAGCTACTGGTGATTTTCATTTGTTTTTTCTTACAATTTATTATTGGATGATTCAGCTCAAGGTTTCCTCAGTAGTATCCTCCCTTATCATCTCTGGACACCTCCTAAAATGGTCAGCTACTTCTCCCAGAAGGATAACTTCAGGGCCAGCTGTTAAATTTGAGTACAGCGCCCCTGTGTGGCTTTAACATGTTGTTGCCTGTGTTTGCAGATCAAGTATCATGAAGAATTTGAGAAGAGCAAATTTCGAGATGATGCACCTCCTCCTGAAAATAGACAAGGTCAGCCCCGTCCTTACACTCTCTGTATGTCATTTATCCTGTATATGTGTATAAAATATATGAATGTACATTTGTTTCTGTACTTTGTGAAGATTATAACGAGCAACCATCCAACCCTGAAAGATTCGGCCAGCCAGCTGGACAGATGCGCCCAGCTGCTGTAGCACCGGCTAAAGGAGGGGTAAGCTAATACATAAGCATATAACTGGAGCTAAGACGCCTATAGTCCAAAAGTACACAAAAGGATGAGTATGACAATGCTGTCCACATACTTTTGGCCATATAGTATGGCATCTATTTAAGATAAAAGCAAACAGGAAGTAATTTGGAATACTTTTTCAGCTTTTGGATTTTAGTAAATTTGCAAAGAAATCCAGAAACCTGTTTTCACTGTATCGTTATGAGACACTCGGTGCAGACTGATGGTCAGACATCGGCAGTGAAACGACTTGAAAACTTTCTGAAGCTGCCTGTTGTACATTTATGTCTCCAGTAGGCAAATTCAATGCAAATGAGTTTTGTCTTACGTGTCAGTGCGTATTCATTTTCTGTTTGTGTTTGCATGCACTCAGAAGTGTTACCAGGCCATATACAGCTACATAGCAGCAGAAGCAGATGAAGTTTCTCTCCAGGAAGGTGATCTGATCTTAGATGTGGAGCCAATAGATGAGGGGTGGATGTTTGGCTGCAACCAGCGCACAGGGCAGCGGGGCATGCTCCCTGCAAACTATGTCCGACCTGTGTGAAACAAACAGACCTGTCCCACAGACATTACGGTCCATTCCCAGAATGATCTGCCTACAGTCAGTTATCTTTAAATCACCTTTTGCAAAACAAAACACCCTCCCTGGTTCTGCTTTGCCTTTTCTGTCATGAATGTGGTTTTCAAATATGCACTGTGAGGTTTTGAAAAAAAGAAACTGACATTTTACTTTAGAAAAGGGAAAAAGGTTGGTGTGAAAAAGTATTCTGTATAAAAACCCACTAAAAAGAAGCTGAAAGCAGAAGCAATAAACTCACAAAACACCTACAGTTCACTACAATATTTCATATGTATTCTTTTATCTTTCTCAGGTAACATTTAGCTGTTTATGTACACATCACTCGGCCGTAAAATGCAGCCCCGGCCTTGGAAATACACAACCAGATACATTTAAGTTTCAGATCAGTGTTGAATGTCTGTTCAACAACATGTCTTCAGTATCTTCTTATAAAGCCATTTTAAACACTTGTTCACTATATAGAGTGTAATTTATGCATCATGGTTAGAGCATGAGCTGATTCAATTAAGGGAAATATTTTGCGCTGTGTAATTTTTCCTTCATTAAAATGCTTTTATTCTAAACCATGAGTACCTGGATTCTGCTGCCTTGTTCAGTGTGGGGGAAAAAAAAGCCCCACGAAAATAACACGTATCAAACCTTTATTCAAAAGCAGAGTGGACATCATCAAATCACTATACAGGGTAAAATTATGCCTAATCAAACTTGGCTATGTAAAATAAGATTAATGTATTTACAAATGTTCAAGTTAAAAGTCATGAACATAAAACCTCACATTCCTGATCCACAAAAAAAAAAAAAAAGCTCTGTGGTAACAGACCAGCTCAGAATCATGTCACTAAAATCAGTCTTCATGTTGTGAGGACAGGCTTCATGTTAGAGAAAAAGGCCACTCTCTTCTTGATTTTGCTCCTCAGTTTTGATGGCAGCCAACTTATCTGCTTCTCAAACAGCTCCGGGTTTTCTCCTACGAAGTCCTCACACAATCTAGATAGGGAAATAAAAAAATTTTAAAAAAAACGCAGCACTTGTTCAGACCTTGTCAAATACACTCGAGCACATGTTCTCACTGATTAGTGAATAGCTCTGGTGTGGATGTGTGTTTCACGTATCCAACACGCCATTCTGTGCACAAAGATGTGATGGATCATCATTTACAGTCCACCTGCATGAGCCTGGACTGCAAGAGAAATGTTTTTGCCTTGCAACTGCATGACACAGTGCTTATATTCAGATACAAATGGGACCTGGTGTGGCTTCAAGAAAAACTTTTAATCTGTCCCATCACATAGCAGATTCCATGCATTACAGAAATCATTTTGTGCATGTTTTCCCCCATGCATTACAGAAATCATTTTGTGCACGTTTTCCCCAAACACCCATATTCTTCTTTCCTCCTAGTTTCCAAGACTATGTGTGACAAAGATGGGATTACTTTTATGTAAACCATCAATGGAACTTTAAGCAATATTTTGATAATTCATTCTAGAAATTACAGCTTTCGCCTCATCTGAACCTGGCACCTGATCATAAAAGTCATGTACTTTAAACATGGCTTATACAAGTGTGGGTTAAAAGCTGTATTCTGGGCCTCAACCGTCGATAGATCACATTAACAAGGGAGGGTCATCGTACCTGAGGAGGGAGTACGGCTGGGTCTGAAAGATAATCACATCTCTGCAGTGATGCTGTGATGGGGCCCTCAGAACAGCCACCTGATAACAGGAGGATCGTCAATCACATATTTCACTCAAAAACCTTGCTGTACAAATAACTGCGTTACAGTGAGAGTTTAATCCTTCATCAACGTATTTAAAGAGCAACTCAGAAGCTTTCTCATCACATACCGAGTCCATGAGGATGCAGAAGTCGCTGCTTCCCCCAAACACAACAATATCGTTGTCACTCCCCAGGCACGCTGTGTGACAGACCCTAATGAGGAACAATGCTTATGTGAACAAAGATGTAGTCACACACTGAGTTACAAAATACTACAAGCTACAAATGCCCATTTCAGGTTTAACACGGACTGATGAAGATGAAATTGTGGATTTGATGCATATGTAAACACTTCAACAGGAATATTTTTAATTTCAGCAGATTCCATATCAAGTTTGCATCATTTAATATTTTAGGAGCAGAAGCATTTTACCAAACCTCAATCTACCTGGGCCTGTCATTGTGTGGATGCGTCATCTTGGTCCACACTCTCTTCTGTGTGTTGAACTGCCAGGCATCACCTAGAAGACAGAGACTCATGATAAAATACAGAGTAAACGACACAGAGAGTCATTGTTTTGGGAGCACTAATCACTTAAGCAATGATATAGTTTGTTTTTAGGAGATGCATGAAAACTGTCCTTCAACCTTGGACACACTCGTCCAAGGCAGTTGACTAAGTAATATGCTGATAACATGTGGCTGCAGTAGGATGACCAGGAAATAGACCCTGGGCCATGTCAGAGTAGTCAAGAGACTACAAACAATGCAAAACAACTAATGGGGAGGGGGGTGGGCGTGTTTTGTTATCCATCAATGCTGACACACTGGTGATAGAATTGGTGCCAAGGTGGAGCAGCCTATGTTGGCAACATGGCTAACCAAAATACAACAAAAGCTCACGGGCTGGAAACGTAAATAAAGCCACTCACATGGACTTGTCCCATTTGGTACATACCTACAACCCCTCACACCCCTGACCAACACAGTCCCATGTGTTAAACACAGCAGGAGGATGCGTTTCTGCCAGAGCAATGTGAATATGCACTTACTCATGCAGCACACAGACTAAGAATTCAAGCCTAAATGTACAGCAGAAACAAACGTTGTGGCCGAGACTCACTGAGAGCATTTCCATCTGTGCCAAGACCTCCGTATATGATGAGTGTATGATCCGATGTGGGCGTCATGGTGTGCATAGAGCGCCCCAGAGGTGTACAGGATGGGGAGGTGTCACTGGTAGGAGAGTATACACAGAAGGGGACGACGACGACAGGACTCAGTAAATCATTGGCGGGGGGAAGAATATCGATACATAATGGTCACTGTATGCATGTGAGTGAACTTTTACAACTGAGTCCAGGTCCATGTCACCAGGTCCAAGCAGAACACGTCCAATTCTGCCTTCTCCTGTGAACAGTCACATACACTTGTTTTAGGTAAACAGTTTTCCTGCAAGTGATTAACCTGAAAGCGTTATCCCAACAGTAAAATATCTGTGTCTCTGAAACAGACCACAACCAAAAGTACATGTACACCAAATATTGAATCCATGTGTTATATTGCCGAACATCTCTTTACAAAACCATGGGCATTAACCTGCTGTGCTAAATGAGATTGTTACCTGGCTACAGGGGTTTTCAGCCACAGGAGCATTTGAGATGTTGGGCGATAAGGCCCGACTCAGTCAGTGTTCCAGTTTATCTTAATGACAGTGGCAGCGAGGTAGGCGACTGTTGTGTCACCTTTTTCTGGGCCATTCAGGTCAAAAGTGTATTGGATGGAGACGAGTTCTGGGCTCTGTGCAGACCAGTTATGTTCTTCCAAATCAAAACTTCAAGCCCCCCCCCCCTTCATCAAACTGTTAACATGAAGCTGGGAGTACACTTTCAGCTGATATACAACTGTACACTAAAGCATTAAGATTCTTTAATTGGAACTAGCAGGACCAACTAAAACATCTCTAAACCACAAGTGACAGCATGTTCACAAACTATTGGATAGATCATATTCACTAAAATGATTAAACTGCTTTAAAAAAAAAAAAAAAAAAAAAACAACACACCCCCCCCC